ATGTACTATAGTAACATCCCAATCTAAGAAGTCATGGAGGCTTGTGAAAAAGACCTATCCATTAAGATGTGTTTCTAGTACGGGGGTGAATTGAGTTAACTGAATCACCTCAGCATCAACAAACAGCCATTTTTACACAGTAACTCATATTTTGATTACTTCATTACTGTAGAAATCACAGGCTCTGGCAGAATTCTGGCTATTCTCCAAGGTCTGCTTTTGAATGAGCCAGTCTTGGGGGTGGTGCTGGGTATGTAAGGTGCCTGACCAGGAGGTTTGCTTCCAAGGAACCATTCACTGAGAGGGACAGCTGCGATGCTGGATGATGACTTCTGCTCTGGCATTGGGATAGAACCTCTTTGCTCCAGGAAGGGAACAATATTTGATGAACTACCACGAGCCATCAGGCGCTCAGGAATTTGAAGTCTTGAGGGACCCAAATGTGGCGATGGTCTGGTGTAGAGCAGTTGTGTCTGCTTCAAAGAGCAGGATAGTTGAACTTTCAGGTTTAAGAGTTAAACAGCCCAGTGTCTCCCGGCACACAGAGACTTGATTGGCTAGATCTTTGTGTGGGGTGCACTCCAGTCAATGAATAAGACAACTGAACTGGCCCAATAACCAGTAAAGCTGCTGGGCCTGCTGCTGAAGCGTCTCCTCTTTAAGCTGATAGATGAAATCTACCTGTTCATATAGCCACACCTCACAGCTTCAAAGGCATACAAGGTGATGGCTTATGCAACTGTGAATCTGAGCTTTGGCCTCTCGCAAGTTGTCTTTAATTTGCTGTTCAGCCTGGAGAAATCCCCCAGTAGCAAGCTCCAACCCTCTCCGTGCATCACTATACCTCAAGAGGGGTTCTCTATTACTGGAGCAGCCACTCTGGTGCTGTGAGGCATTCATTCTGCTCACTGTTCCTCGAATCATTTATTCACTTCACATGATCTTCTGCTAGCTGGCAGACCAGGTCCCTGCTACACCAGCTGCCTCTGGGCAGACTTTTACCCAGGGCCTGGGTGCAGAAAGGTGCCTGGCCCACGCCTCGTGCCACCAGCAAGCAGGAGTGCGCAGGCCAGGGTGGGAGGCTCAGCCCACTGGGCTGATTTGTGCATTTTGAAAAATCCTTGCATGCCAGGGATAAATCCCATTTCATCATGGTGTATAACACTTTTGATATGCTGTTAGATTTGGTTTGCTAGTATTTAGTTCAGGATTTTTGCATCTATGTTCATTAGGGATATTGGCTTTTAGTTTCCTTTTTTTGCTGTGTCCTTTTCAGTTTTCTTTTTTTTTTTTTGTTGTGTCCTTTTGCTGGCCTCATAGTACGAGTCTGAAGGAATTCCATCCATTTCAAAGTTTTGAAATAGTTTAAGAAGTTTGGGTCTTAGTTCTTACATGTTCGGTAGAATTTAGGAGGAAAACCATCTGGTCCTGTGCTTTTCCTTGTTGGGAAACTTTTTATTACAGATTCAATCTTGTTACTTGTTACTGGTCTATTCAGGTTTTCTATTTTTTTCTTGGTTCAGTCTTGGTAGGTCAGACGGGTCCCGAAATTTGTCCATTTCCTCTAAGTTTTCAAATTTATTGGTGTATAGTTGTTCATAATAGTCTTTAGTGATTCTTTGTATTTCAGTGGTATCAGTTGTAATGTCTCCTTTTGCATTTCTGATTTTATCTATTTGGGTATTTTCTCCTTTTTTCTTGGTTATTCTGGCTAAGGGGTTGTCAATTTTGTTTATTTTTACAAAAACTAATTTTTCATTTGATTGGCTTTTTGTAAGTATGGGTAATTCTTAAATGATTTAAAGGTAACTGTTTGGAAACATGAACTGATATAGATCTACCCCAAATAATGGACCAAAATGAATTTCAAATGGACCATTAAAAATTGGAATGTTAAAGGGCTAGCCAGTTAGCTTAGTTGGTTAGAGTGCAATGTTATAAAACCAATGTCATGGGTTTGGATCCCCATACCGGCCAGCTGCCAAAAAAAAAAAAAATTGAAATGCTAACAAAAAGACCTAAGTATTGGAAGATACTACAAGTAAATACATAATCTCAGGGAAGGACTTTCTAGTATGATGCTAAATACCCAAACAAAAAGGAACAAATGAATGTGTCACACTTCATAAAACTTTTAAAATTCTATTTATTAAAAAAATCACCATAATGTACAAGGG